TTTCAGCACCTTGTTGAATCAATGCCACGTAGAATTAAGGCAGTTCTGAAGGCGAAAGGGGGTCAAACACCGTATTAGTATGGTGTTCCTAATAAGTGTATATACCTCACATAAGGATGTCTCCAGTTATAAATATCGTGATTAATGCAGGGCGTTGTGTTCATAAAAATTATATTTAAATGCACACAAAGCCCGCCAGGACTTTTAATAACGCCAGAAACAGACGTTACTACCAAATGCACTTTGTATTTATGAGATTTTAATCTTTGTCATATTCTTTGAATTTTTGCGAGGCTGACAAGTGTTTCGAGTCATCAGAAATACGGTGATGAGCATTGCAGTGAGACAGTTAAACTCTATGGCTATACTTTATTTTTGTAACATTGTTAAAATGACTTGTTCTTTACCTGTGTACTCTTCGGTTTTTCATCATCGTCCGCCGCTTCACGCGCTGATGCGTAGTCCCGTGCTTCGAAACTGGAGCCGCCCGATACCGTCGACCCGGTACACGGTTCGATTTCACCCCACATGCCTATGATGAGCCATCCACGTTTTATATACAAGTTAAGTTTAGCCTGCAATGTATATAGGCATATTTTATGCAGATGCTTATGTATACATCAAATGTATATAATAATGTACGCTGCAGGCAGTTGAACTATAATTTCACATCGGTAAATCTTGCCTAGGAAATAACCTGGATAATCTTTGGCACGACATTCGCCAGCTGTTTAATTACATGAAAATGATTTAAAACACGGAGTTACCTTTTTTGCTCTAGCGAATGCACCTTCCTTTTTAAGCCGAATAAAACATAAATCACAGAATACTCAACCATGTAACTAGATGTAATTAATTATTGCACAGCATTCTCGAAGCTATAATAATTTATTTACTTGTTAAAGTTAAAACGTCTGAAAATCTTTTCTTGACGGCTGTTTCTACAATCCCATGTTTTCTACTACACTTGTCCGTCAATATTATCAGTCCCCGGCGCACGCTATACGTGGGAGAGTAGTTCCCCCGCTAATGATTTGTCGTTGTAGAAACGTTTAGGCTACCGATCGTTGCGATTAATGTATGGAAATAGTCAATGCTCCCAGAACGTTATCCCGCTACTTCGACTTCTACCACAACTAAGACTAATATTATAAAAGCCAATGAATGGCATGGTAGAGCAGCGGGTAACATCGTCACTTTAGACATAAAAGATCATGGACGGCATATTCGTAATATGCGCTTATAGAACTTTTATAAATTATAATAAAATATATTTTATTATAAAACGTTATCTCTATCTCACCCTTAATTATATGAAAAGGATGTTCAGGTAATAATTTTATCATGTTGACATTAACAGAACCTTTGTTAAAATGTAAAACGTGGAAATAAAGTTCTCTGCCAAATCGGAGAAGACCTTTCATACACTCACCTAAAGGATTATTAGGAACACCATACTAATACGGTGTTTGACCCCCTTTCACCTTCAGAACTGCCTTAATTCTACGTGGCATTGATTCAACAAGGTGCTGAAAGCATTCTTTAG